TTTTTTTAAAAACATTGATAAGTTTTTAATATTGTGGTGTACAAAATGGTTAGTAAAGTATATTTACATTTCCCTTTTGTTGTTACTTCTTGTTTCATACAGCAATTGTAGCGACTTAATCACCGAGCTTTGCAGCTCTCTGCCGCGGGTAGACTGTTTGTCGTCGAGTGAATATTGCGCATGCGCGATTTTCCTTGAGGAAACATTCTAACTACGCATGCTTATGCAGTAGGTTCTCGGTCAGAAAGCGTAACGGTCGTACACACAAACAAGCAGAATAATAGTATAGATTATTTTCGTACGTAAATTATCTGTTTTTTTCTCTCTCTCATATTCCTTTGCTGTTTGTTATTTTGCTCATCACAAACCCCAGATGTCTGTCTAAGTTTTTTAAAACAAAATAAAAAAGAAGTTTTTCATGTGCTGATATAAAATCGAAAATTTTATTTGTTTCCCAAATCGCAAGCGAGACTGGGATTTTTACGTGCTGAAAAGTTCTTTCTTCACACCGAACGAGTTAGGTCAAATAAAATTGTGTATTGATTTTTACCACAAAATCAAAACGTGCTTTTATTTTCTTTTTTTTTGCCCCCAATGGCACAGCGGTATGTCTGCGGACTTACAACGCTAGAAACCGGGTTTCAATACCCGTGGTGGGCAGAGCACAAATAGCCCATTGTGTAGCTTTGTGCATAACTACAAACAAATACATTTTTTTAGTTAATTTTGTGTAATTTTCAGTTTGAATACAAGAAAAACAGTATAGTATTCTACGTCAGAACCAAGGAACCGTATAAGTATACAGATAAAGTTGATTTCTTGATCGCTTACCCTTAATTCTGCCTTTTACAGATGAAGGAAGAAATTTCAATATATATATATATATATATATATAGTGCTAACTATTAGAAAACATATAATCTGTATGCTGTCAGAGCCAAGGTTTTTGCATGTTGCAGATACGCCAACATGAAGAATTCGAGGATGCTCAGACATGCTGGATGTACATACAAATTATATTGATTTATGACATTGCCATTTACAAGGACAGAATATGCAACAATGGCCTACATAAATAATTCTACCACTATATATAGGCACGATAGGTGGCTACTAGGAGAAACTGGACCTATTCATAGAAATGGACGACTAAGATAAATTCCCGAGCACAATCCAACTACTAAACTGGTTAACCACTATATTGAGTGTACTATACTGTTCTGCAATCCAAGTACTAAACTGGTTAACCACTATAATGAGTGTACGCTACTGTTCTGCAATCCAACTACTAAACTGGTCAACCACTATACTGGGTGTACTCAAATGTTCTGAGATTCTATTTTTTTAAGTCATTGTCGTAGCTTTGTGTGTTATGAAGTGAAAACGGTAGATTTAATCACAAACGTCATCATTTACTTGAAAGATTTTTTTAAATAGTGCTCAATTCTTAAACATGCCTATTTTTGTCTTTTGAATAACTTTAATTAAATTTCAGCATTGATCTGCGCTCAGATTTTGATAACTCATTCTATGTATGTATGTGCGCGTGTTTGAGTGCATTGTAACATTGAAACAAAAGTTTTATCAATTGTTTTTATTAATCGTCGAAGATGTTTAATGATATATCACACTTATAATCTCAAAGTCTGCACATTTTTTTAAAGCGGAAAACTGACTATCATAATATCAATGGGCCTGGCAGGGCCAGGTGGATAGGACGATCAACTAGCAATCGAATCCCCGTCCCAACAAACATGCTGGCCCTTTCAGCCGTGGGGGGCATTATAATTTGACGGTCAATCCCACTATTCGTTGGTAAAAGAGTAGCCCAAGAGTTGGCGGTGGGTGGTGATGACTAGCTGCCTTCCCTCTAGTCTTACACTAGCTAGCGCAGATAGCCCTCGTGTAGCTTTGCGCGAAATTCATAACAAACATAATATCAATGCGCCAATTTTTTCGTTTTTTTTTCCTTTTCTATTTGTTTACGTTTCGTGTAAAGATATACGCGTCGAAAGGTTTGCAAGTACCGGGCCAGTTTCTACAGAGACTGTCTGTAGTTTTGTTAGTAAACTATGTATGTTTTCTACCGGAAATGTTGTTTTCATCAGTTTCATTAATACTTACAGTTTCAAAAGAAAATAACTCTTTAGGAATGACTGTTTCGACTTTTTGTTGTTGTTTGTTTTTATTTTTACCTTCGCGCAAAGCTAATCGTCCCTAATTTAGCAGTGAAAGACTAGAGGGAAGGCAGCTAGTCATCACCTCCAACCGCTAGCTCTTGGGCTACCGAATAGTGGAATTGACAATCATATTATAACACCCCCACGGCTGAAAGGGCGAGCATATTTGGCGGGACGAGGATTCGAAACTGAATTGAACATATTTGATCTTAACACAATGCATGTGAAAAATAACATTGCACAGCTACTTCTTTATCGATTGTCTGTCTCCTCACTTTTTATTCCAATGTATTGGTTTTGGATTAAACAATGATTACATTTCAAGCAATAATACAATTATATTTCTCTATGTTACACAGCTTCTAGAGCAGGAAAAGCATGGTTTGAAGAGAAAGTTAGACTCTGTGGAGGGAGAATATGATAGTCGCGTGGCAGAACTTTTGGCAGATATTGCAGAGCTGAAGAACGAACTTGAAGGCCACGAGGTGTCGCTGAAGTTCACTGAGAGAGAAAAAAGAAAACTCATTCATGAGCTTCAGGAACAAAACCACAAACTTTCTACTGCTTTGAGACAGGTGGGTAAGATTTCTTGCGGTTATGTTTGGATCTATAAACTAACCATTATTTTGAAACAGACAGTCGTGTCCTTTGCCTTTTTGACAATATATATGTGTTATAAGTTGCCTCCTGACTCTTCTAACGAAAAGTGAGACATTTGACCTCATATATACTTATTACAACAAGTTTCCCTGTTTTAAACAATGGGTATAACATTTGTCCTTTAGAGTCTTTTATTTTACACGTTGATTTTTGCGGTGAGAGGTTCGAGCTAGTGATGCCTGCTATTTTAGTTGATATTCAAGTATGACTTACACCTAAGGAGATTATATGAACCTAAAATGATAAAATTAATCGTGGTGAATTTATATTGGTTAACATGTACAATATAATATAGTCTTTTCATTCTATTTTTCTTTTTAAAAATCCTCACTAGCCAAAAAAAAATAGATTTAGTTTTCACGATGTTTATAAGATCAAAATTGTGATAACGTTGTGGCTTCCTATTATATTCACTCTGAATTTTTGTGGCCTTTCACATCGCCTTATTTCGACTGCAGTCTTTTTTTTTCTAATGTATGAATTCAAAATACCTAATCTTATCTAAGGAATATATATTACTGTTCACAAACGTGAATATATGATATTATTTTTTGTGCAGTGGTTCTTATTTCTCCTTTTATGACGTTAATATCATAGTACAGAATTATGTACATCTGCCCCCTAGTGGCACAGTAGTATGTCTGAGGACTTACAACGCTAGAAACCGGATTTCGATACCCGTGGTGGGCAGAACACAGATAGCCCATTGTTTAGCTTTGTGCTTAAATTACAAACAAACAATATGTACATCTATTTCATATAAATTGATAAAATATCAACTGTTAGTGTAATCGAACTCCTATTATTATAAACTGTAGCTAAGTTTGACGCGATGCTTTGCGAAAATACGTTATCAGTTGACTAAGAATTTTTTGTGTAAAATATACTAGGGGTGGGGATCAGGGGTTCGAAGGAACTCCCTCCGCTTGAGATAACAGTTCACCTTCTCACATTTATATATATACATCCTATTTTACTAGCTATAACCCTCGTGAATCATTGTCTTTCATGAGGCAAAAACTTATGTTGGCTCACACTGCAACAATTTTTCATACGCGTTTCTCATAGTTACACCTACCTATACAGTTTATTCGGTACATGGTTTGCATTAAATAAAACTTACATTTGTGAATGATATTCTATGACTAATAAACTACACTTTACGTTTTCATTATTTTATATTGTTGTAATTATAAATAAAAACAGTTTGCAATAAAACTTACATATGTGAAGGATATTCTATGACTAATAAACTACACTTTACGTTTTCATTATTTATATTGTTGTAATTATAAATAAAAAACAGTTTGCAATAAACTTACATATGTGAAGGATATTCTATGACTAATAAACTACACTTTACGTTTTCATTATTTTATATTGTTGTAATTATAAATAAAGAACAATTTGCAATGAAACTTACATATGTGAAGGATATTCTATGACTAATAAACTACACTTTACGTTTTCATTATTTTATATTGTTGTAATTATAAATAAAGAACAGTTTGCAATAAAACTTACATATCTGAAGGATATTCTATGACTAATATACTACTCTTTACGTTTTCATTATTTTGTATTATTTCAATTATCAATAACAAAGAAATTGTAAGCGAAGGTAACTTACATCAGTGTCTACAAATTTGTTACCATAATGTGAATGTTGTGATTTGCTGATTTTATTGCAAAGTAGTGCGTTCCATAGTAAATACCAATGATATGTAAAATGACGGCGAGAAAAATAATATTCACAGAAAAGTTTTGTTATAAAGTACTGATTTTTTTAACGAACTCCCCATAGCTAAAGCAGCCAAATCCATGTATACAGTCGTTTCTATGAAGTGTATACGAGAGGGCCCTAAAAACGCACGAATTGTGGACCATTAATGGATCTAATGAAATTTTTTAAAAAAACCAAAACAAAACAAAAGTCGATACCGATATTAATATTCTCTACGTAACATTGAAAACGTATTTCATCGAATTTATCTGCACTTGCTGTTATGAATTACAGTAAGTGTTTAATACCGTTGTTGGCTATAATTTGTTTCATTTGTTTGTATTTCTATTTGATCAGAGGGAAGTTTGACGAAGAGTAATTGGCGTAACTATATGACTAGAACTTTCTTGAAAGTTTAAGAAACTATTTGAGCATCATCAAACACGAGTTAAGCTAGAGTATATGATTATTGAGCCTGTTAGTAAGTTGAGTCTGAATTAATGAGATATTATTTGACTGAGTTTGTTAGTTAGTGTTTAATTAGTTCTGTTTATTGATATACCTGAGCATAGGTAAATAAGTGAAATTGTTTCATTAGCGTCTACGATGAACTTAAATCCATAAAGGAACATTAGCTAAGTTAACTTTTAGAACTTGTAGTGTAAAGAATTTATTTCTAAGAAGAAAATAACTTATTTGTATCGATAAGCTATATTTAAAACAAAATTAAATTTCGAGAGAAAGAATAAAAGAGATTAGAGTGGATTGCAGTGTTGTTTATTTTACTGATTGCAAGACAAAGAATGAAAGTAAAAGGCACCAGTAGTAACACAGGGGTTTTTTTCGGATAGAGCAGAATATACTCCGATCAGGTGGTAATGTGTTAAACGAGATCACTGACCGAAGAACGTTTTACTTAAATACGAGTAAGCGGCTACTGGCTATTAAAGAAGAAATTATAACAGGCAGCGAACCTGAACTGAGCATCAAAGAGAAAACAAATTACAGCTTGCTGTAGACTCCAAAAGAAACGAAGCAAGACGATACTCGGTGAAGCATTGTTGATTGCTTCAAATTTTTATCCAAACTGCACCATTTACAGGTGAATTAGGAAGACCTTTTAAGCATTTTATTAATCTTAACAGACTGATGAGATAAGTTTGTGAAATTTCTAAATAATTAACTCACAAAAAGAAAATTGGACAATCGAAAACATAAAATCCTACTATAATATTTAATGCACAATAACATAAAAGTATATTTAAGCTGTTATTTCATATCATGCTTCATGAACATGAAGTAAAATTATAATATATTAGGGTATAATTCTGGGTTGATGTTGAAGTTGTTGGCGATAACGGTAACACAAGAAATAATTGGAAGGTAACATTAATGCAGCAATCATTCTTAGACTGAGTTCAAAGCAGGATTTTTTAGCAATGAAAATTTAAGTACTGAGGTTTAGATACGCACACTAATATTAGTTTGGTTACTACATGCACAAACAAGATGGCATATGAATGTTCACAGAGACACATGCACCTTTCGTTAGTCACAATTCTGTCTGTACAGCTTTAGGCACGGTTACTATCCTTGATCACTACTTGCCCTCCTGTCAAAACAGGATACATGTAAAGCTTGAATAAACAGATAACTAGAATTTTCCTGTGGTGTTCCAGCTGGAGTTTCTTTTTTGAGTAATGAACTAGTGATGCAGATTTCTTACGTCAGTTCCAAGATAAAACTTTCAGTGTTTTATTTATTTATTTTTCTGGTCCTAAATCATTATTCAACATGTTGATTGCGGCCAGTCAATTTCCAGCTTTATCAATCTCACCAAGAATTTCGATAGAACAATGAAAAAACTTTTAACGATAATAAAATCTGATGTGCTTAACATCTTGCTTTGTCTTTAGCCCTTCAATGGCACAGCGGTATGTCTGCGGACTTACAATGCTAGAACCCGGGTTTCGATACCCGTGGTTGGCAGAGCACAGATAGCCCATTGTGTAGCTTTGTGCTTAATTACAAACAAATGCTTTGTCTTACCCGAATATAGCTGTAAAGAATAGCACCACTGCTAAAATTGGGGGAGTCCAAACACATCTACTTGAAATGATAATAGTAAAGCCTAAGGTCACCTTAAGATGGCTCAGAATTTTAATAGAAAAACTCAGATAATGGTTCTGACTAAAACCCTGTGTCTTCGTGTTAATCTAATATATTGCAACAATGGCAATAAGTTGTGAAAGGTTTATACAAAATATTTGATCGTATCTCAACACATGTAACTCAAGACTGGACAAAGTATAAATTCACAAAAATCATACGTATCGTTACAAAAACTAATTCAGACAGCTTTAAAAAAACGGATTTTAAACCTCGTTAGGTCCATTGTCAAAATTGGAAACGGCCGCACTTTAACTTAAACCTTATAATTTACATCTGACTACGCTACGGTAAATAACATTAAGATGAAGATTATCAAAATAGCTATCATCTGTAATTGGCCTACATTTATGTTCGTTTGAAAATCAAAAATAATTAAAAACAAAATGTGATTGATATATTCAGCAGATTTCTAATGTTTACTATGTCTAAAAGATTTTTTTGTCTCTATAAGTGAAGACTGTCTGTGCTTAAGAAAACAAGCGGCAAGGCCAGAGACCATAGATATAAATAATACTAGACTGGCCAGTTACTACTCTTTATCATTGAGGGGCATGTTCGCATGCATTCGTCATTGCTATGTGTTGAAGTTCGAACTGGCAGACAATATAAAATGGCTGAGAACGAATGGAACACAGAACTATGCCATTAACTGCTACACATACCGTAACCAAGAGTCGAAGACAGAGGGTGTTACATTCTACAAGCAATTAAAACCTTTTTTTTTCAATAATATATTAAGTTACAGTGGGTAACATCGCCGTGGACATGGGGGCAACATCGAACTGGAGTGGATGTTTACATCTAGTTTCAAAGTATATATGCGAGTCTTTTTCTTTTTTGGCAGGTATTTCACCTATACAAGTCGGCAGGACAGTTTGTCAGTTTTTGATTTGAAATGTTGACAATATTAGATACTCATATAAGTTGAAATAATCATCCTCGACATTCTGATGTCGCCTGCTGGCCAGTCAGGCTATACAGATACTTCGCCAAAACATACACTGTCTACAGGTACAAGTTCTGTGCACATTCACTTTGATGCTATCAGTGAGGTAGAAGTTTATTAAACATACCACTTAGAGAGAAAATTTGGGTCAATTTGTCTGGTAGTCTGATCAGTGACGTTATGACTTATCCGAGAAACAATTCAAACATAGGCCTAATACTGTCAATAGACTCATTCTCAGAATTACATGAGAGATTACATTTTTGCAGGTGGTCCCTTCCAGTCCAAAATCCTTGAGCTGTCAATGTTATTATAATAAATAATCAGTATGCAGTACAAGTGGCCAAAAACACGTTAATGTAACTGTGAAATTTTTGGAAGAGTGCTTATAACAGAGTGAGCGTAGTTTTATTACAGTATATATGCACATGCCTTTCTAGTTTAATTGTAATGTGTGTGTGAACTATCAGTTAAGTGTATTGGATGTCTAAATGTTTTGCACATTACCGATTATCAATTTTCATGTTCACATAAAAACAAAGTACTACAGAATTGATTCTCATATGAACTAGCAGAATTTGACTAGCATATAATTATGAATTGTACATTTAATGGTGAAAATTGGTAATTATGCCGTAGATAAATATATTCCTGTAGTGTTCTTGAAATTAATCCACTATAATGTACTCTACTCAGTTGGAAAAGTTAGGCCTATGTCTTTGGTATTTCTATACTTAAGATTTGTATGATTTGTGAAATTACTATGTGGCATACATTACCCAAATGGCCGTTTTTTGAAAAAATATATTTTAGGTATTGAGAGAAAATTGGAGTTATATTTTAATCCTTTGATTTGCTATTATAAATGCTGGTAGACTAAAATTATTGCACAATTGTAAATTTATACAAGTTGTAAAAAGGACCATTATGAACTGTATTGAAGTGTCCATGATAGGAAAATGTACTGGTCGTGAAAATTTAGGTATGTACATGGTAGAGTAAGACGCGCAGGTACTTACAGCAAATATTGGACATATATTATGACATGAAGATTAGACAACGTCTCATTTGTTTTTAATTATTTAAGCATATACCCATAAAGTTGACATATTTAAAACTTACAACTTTATTTGCACATGAAAGTTTATATAATTTGCAATTTCATAACTTGTCATATTTTTCTGAAGTCAACATCAGTTAAATATATCAGATCAAATATAAACACTATTTTCATGCTTTATCTGCACCAGTCGTGTACTACACCGGTAATATATGATTTCTATGTAAAATAAAATGTTTTGCATAATTAAGTAACCTGACTTTGTTATGTCGACATTCAAAGGTGAATTCCACTATGGGGAATGATATTTGGTTTTAATGACAGGGTGATCTTGAAAGCCACTGTTCTAATGGAGAGAATGTTAACACTTCATCCAAAAGATTTTGTTCTGATTACAGAATAATAATTTCAGTGAAATATCTTAAACTGAATTTCACCAAGATGATCAATGTAGAGTATCATGAGAAGTTATTATTATTATTATTTTGCATTACAATAATATAATGGTTATGTACACGAGTTAAGCTGCAATAAAAATTGGAGAGCTACAACAAACGTTTTTGCCTACACTTCAAGTTTTTAATTATCAGACCTTGCAGAGACCATTAGAAGGGAAGGGACTCAGATCCAAAAAGATCTAGTAATAGGTGAAGGGGGGGGGGAGAACATAACCATTCGGTCATAACTCGGTAAAAAAGAGGAAAGGGAACCTTTAAAAGAGTAACATTGCTAAATTTGTTGTATTTAGATCTAGTGCAGTATATCTAATGCATCATTGATGAAATAGTTTAATGATTTTTGTTACTTCTTTTGGACTTCATGTTGTATATGTATATATACTTCAAGCACTTGTATCAAATACACAAATATATCCGAATGATTTTTTTTTATATTTATATCATAAATGTTTTTAATTATTTCCATCCACTTTAGTTAAGAACATTGAATGTTTAGAAGTGCAGATACATAAATAATATTCTCCTCTCCCCCACCCAAGAAAAGGACATGATGCGTCACCTCTTGTTCATCTCAATATTTGATATGTATATTTTTTGTGACATATAATAAACACCGAAGACAAAGAACAGATTTTAATCTTAAGATTTCCCTCTGGGCTAAAATCCAATGCATTCTCCATATGACAGATCAAATATATGTGTGTTTTGTGAACGATTTTTGCAATAATTTGTAAGTTAAAATCAGGTTTAGATTATCTTGGAGTGACAATTTATTAAAATCAAATAACAAAATTACCCAAACGTCTAATTTATATGGAAAACGGCCATAAATTGCCTTGCCATTGTCAGTTTGACTGGCGGGCTTTGAAAGTTCAACACATAGCAATGGCGGCCGATTGCGTGACTTCCAATCTAGTGTTATTTATATCTATACCAGAGACACAAGTTGCTTAGGCTTAACTATCCATAATTTTAAACTGCGAATCATATGGAAAGCAACCAGTCGGCAGCCCCCGTCGCCTGAAACGGCTATCCTTAACTGATTAAAAGGATTGACTGTCATGATCATAACGGACTCACAATTGAAAGTGCGAATCATGTTTGATATTACTACATCAAAAACCTAAGACCCTCGAATCTCTAATCCGACACGTTAGCCCCCAGTAGCACAGCGGTATGTCTGCGGACTTACAACGCTAGAAACTGGGTTTCGATACCCGTGTTGGGCAGAGTGCAGATAGCCCATTGTGTAGCTTTGTGCTTAACTTCAAACAAACAAATCGACACGCTAATCAGTAGACTACACTCAGTCCTTGAAAAAAAAAAGAGTGAAACCAGAAATTCAGATTTTTCGTACAAGGGGTGCAAAAACTTCAAAAATAATGTGAATATAAGGCTTACTTTCTACAACCACAAATAAGTGAGGCCTTCATATATTAAAAACGGATTCGAATATTTGTATTTATAGGCAAGAAAGCTTCAAGACAAAGAGTTTAGTACTGTCTACTAGGGGTACCGCAAGTTGAACAAACATAAGGTTAATGCGTACATATATATATATAACTATAGTGTAGTTTGAGACAAACAAACAATTGGTAACTGAAAAACAATAGCATATTGTGAGTCTATATTAACTCAATATAAAACGTGAATCACAAGTATCACAGGAAATGAAATATTTAGCACATAAATAAAAGCTTTTATATTCGTATAAATAGAAAATTTTGTCTGGTTGTATTAATTCAGGTCCGACAGGAGAGGGGGGGGGGGCAAAAGGGGCAACTGCCAAGGAGTCCGGCCCTGGTTATGCCGTAAAGCACGTTTTTACGCTTATACTGTGAGCTTTTAAGAAAGTTATTTAAAATGTAAAAAAGAGAAAGAAATAAGGGGCGCCAGGCGAGTATGTTTGCTCCTGGACCCTTGCTGGCTCTCGACGCTCCTGTGTCGCATTGAGTACCTCTAACTATATTTCTGTTGTGTTTAATATTATTTGGAGTAACACTAGGTGGTATTAACTAACGATAAATGAGATAAATAATTATTATGTTCAATTACTGGCACTATCAAGCTTAAAAACGTATGATGTTTAACTCACCACTCACCAACAATTTTAATGTTGAAGATACTAGCGACATCTAGTGAGGTAACACTTTAACAGGTTAGACAAAACGGGGTTACTGCATAGACACTACTTCGGCAACAAATCCTAAAACAAAAAACAGAAGTAACTTAAAATATATATGTACATATCGAAATTAATTAACGGATACAACTTCCTATAAAACGTATCTATCGTTTGTAAATATTTCTAAATGCTCATGTTGTTTCAGGCCAGCAAGTCTGAGGAACACCTAACTGGACAGCTGAAGTCACTACGGCAGCAGTTCACTGTCCGACGTTCGAACTTTACTGACCACGTGTCGCAGTTGGAAGGACTTAGGGAGGAGGTATCTACTTATTCGGACATTTACTTTATATCTTGAACTGTAACTGTACTTACAGTTTGTTTGATCAGTGTTAAAACATAAAGGAAACCAGCATTTATTTATATGTCTAGGTTTTGAGAAACTGTAATATCTTGTACGTTACTCTTGTTTATTATTTATAATTATTTATCTTTGAACAAGTTGAGTGTAATTAGTAACATTTTTTGGTCTTGCCTTTACAAATGTATATCGGAACAGGAACTGTTTTTATGTCGTTAGTGTTTTTGATAGCTCTCTGTTAAGGATTTCTGTCACCACAGTTGACCGCCTCTCGATGTTTCCGGCCTCCGTGCTGAGAATATTAAACTTCGACAGAAGATCTAATGAAGAGACAAGAACAACCCGAATGATATTAAATGGCGCAAATTAAACTCTGTTTTAATAAAATAAGAAATGCGCTAAATCATGATCAATTTCACGAACCTTTGAAATTGAACAATAGAAATTAGTTCGTAAGTGTGTCTATGGGGAAACTGGTAACAAAATAAAATCAAAATAATTTCAGCATTACTTTAGCTAAAATGCATCAGCCAAGATAATTTACTTATTTCATAATTATCAATATTTCATTTTTTGTTTTCAATTTCGAACATTAGAATGAGTGAAAAAGTTACTGTTATTGAATATATCTGACATTTAATTCTAATGGCTGTACATGGATTTAGCTCTTCAGTTACATTTGTGTATAAGAAGCTGTATGTATATGTATGTACCAGGTATAAAATTTTTAGTGGACCCAGACTTACGGTTGACGGGTAGGAGAAGTTCAAACCCTTTGAGACAAGTTACAGGGAGCTAAATAAAAAGCACTACGTATGACGTATATGGGCACGAGAACTATTATGCAGACTCTTATTGGGTGGGACTGGGAGCTAAGTCTGTTGTTGTTTATTTAGCGCAAAGATGCACAATAGGCTATCTGCGTTCTGTCCACTGCAAGAACTGAACCCAGGATTTTAACACTGTAAGTCCGGAAACTTCCCGCTGACCCACCGGGGGACGCTGAGTGGACAGGAATATTCTTTACGCTATGGTACTGCAAAGGTTACCAACTATCACACAGAGTGCCGAGCAACTAACGTTCAGTCTTTCCAAGTTGACCATACACAATGTTATTATTAACATTAAGAAAACTAACATCCTATAACATTACTTATGATGTTACGAATTTGTAATTACTGGTTTAATTATGCCTTTTGTATGCCCCACTTTGGATCAGCGAAACGTTTTACTGACTTACACCGTTAAAATCTGCACTTAGCTTATCTTGTGACTTTGTGCAAACAAACAAACAAAAACAATTAAAAAGATAAAATAAAAGGAAAACCAGTTATATATTTGTTCTATTGTTATAATCAAGTAGGTTTAACTTACTATTCTCTGAAAGTGTGATAACAAAATAAAAATGTTAATTATGAATCAATATATAACTGATCAATGGCTTTAAAGCTTGCGCTTAAGATGAGGAAAAATGTACCTTTATTTGTTGTAATTTTACATGATACATTTATTAGATTCACATTTATTACTAGTTTTCTATCTATGATAAATTGTCCGGTTCCGATGTAAAATCTTATTAAACGTAGCCTTTTTTCCCCTTTAGAAACATAAAGTTCAATTTTGAATTTTTACTTTTAAATAAACTGTATTTTTGCGAATAAGTATGTTTTCTCTGAAGTTCGTTAATTAGGCTACTTCAAATTATGGCTAGAATAATCTATCTAAAATAGGGAAATTTTGATTCTCATGCGTCTAAGGTATGCGAAATTACTTACTTAGATATGTAACTCTTAAAATCAACTTAGATGGTTACTGAAAATTCTAGAAACAAGACATGCATAAATCTCTGCATCTTCTTGATATATTTGATCTATTCCCCACCATGCACAATAAGAACATACATTAAATGATTAATAATGCTCTTGTAAAAAAAAAAAGTGTAAATAACTGAAATCCCTGGTATTTTATAATATTATCACTTATTTATGCTACTGTATCATCCGAATTTGAATTAATAAAACAAATATGTTCGAATGGCATACTGGAATTTTAAATGATATATCAAAATGTAAAATTAGAAAATTCTATTTTTTTAATTTTGTCGCTAACAGCAACAGTTTTTTGTTTTGTTTTATTGTAACGCAAAGCTACACAATGGGCTGTCTGCGAACTGAACCCAAAATTTTAGCGTTGTAAGTCTGTAAACGTACCGCTGACTACCGGGGGGACAACGGAAATACGCTGTTGAAGATTCGCAAACTATGATAACTGTTCACGTGTTTTTCTTTTTTTTTTAAACTTTAAACTAAAGTGCATTCTATTTTGTTAATAAATATTTATTTCACTGATACTTATTTTATTTGTAGTTGTACACAGAGTGTAATTATGTATGTCACAAATTTAAATGTAATGTGGAATGTATGTCAGCCGAGTAAGTCTCTGCAAGTTATACAAACTCGAAGTAAGCTGCCTTCCTTTTAATCTTTTTTTATTATTATTCCAGCCTTCCATCTGTGTAACTTTACAGATGCTCCTTAAACAAATATTCCTTAAAGATAACTGTTATACATCGTCTAAACAGACTACTAGTTTAGTTTTCACGAGGGCTCTATTATTCCTTCAAAAAGGTATTCGGGGCGCTACGGTTTTTTCTGTTTGTTTTTGAATTTCGCGCAAAGCTACACGAAGGCTATCTGCGCTAGCCGTCCCTAATTTAGCAGTGAAAGACTAGAGGGAAGGCAACGAATAGTGGGATTGACCGTAACATTATAATGCCCCTACGGCTGAAAGGGTGAGTATGTTTGATGGGACGGGGATTCGACCCCGTGACCTCGGATTGCGAGTCGAGCACCCTAACCACCTGGCCATGCCGGGCCGCGGTCTTTTTTTCTCATTAATTAAAAGGTAACGTAATTGTATGCTATTAAATGGAGTGGAGCTGCTTGCCCCACACCTAGTGTCTGTTGTATTTAAAGTTACATTAAACTTCTTCATTGTAGTGTCGACGTAATTAAAAGGTAACGTAATTGTATGCTATTAAATGGAGTGGAGCTGCTTGCCTCACACCTAGTGTCTGTTGTATTTAAAGTTACATTAAACTTCTTCATTGTAGTGTCGACGTAAACACAAAAGACACCAGGCGTTATTTGTAAGCTAACTGATTGGTAGACATGCGCAATGAAATAGGGGTGCCACCTTACCTACATTCAGTAACTGACAAAGATATTCAATGACTCGTAGTTCAAGCAATTTCAGTTTTCATAAAACAAGCTAGATATGTGATATGAAATAGTACAAAACAAGAAAAAAAAGGGGCAACGTTATACTCCATCAATTAAAATCACTAAATATTTATTAACACAGATCTAACATATTTCAATAAATGGTTTGCTATCATCATCATTTGTGTAATTATTGCACTCGCTAAAACAAAGAGAGAAAGAGAGAACACAATATAATAATGGTATCATATCTTCTGCTGCGGCTGGCTTTATATCCATCCTCGGAGGAAGCAAAAAAAGGCTGTATGTGATAACTTCCCTACTCAATTAAAACATTATATCTATTGATTCACAATTATCAATGGTTCATAGTATTGAAAACAAGTATAAAAACTTACAGCTTACTGATAGAAATGAAAATCCGGACATTTAAGAGTCACGAAAAGGATCTATTGGGACACCGGGGCAACATTCCAAAACAGGGACTGTCCTGGCCAAACCTGGATGTATGTATAGTCACCTACTATTCATAAACTACTCTCGTATTTCAATATCTTGATGCAGTATATCATTTCTAATACTAATGTGTGAACAATTTATTGCAATTACCTCTAAACACGGGGCACGAACATTAATGATCTTGGTTTCAGAACACATTTAGAAAAAGTGATGCTTATTAAAGTTAGGATGGACATAACTTTATTACCATCTGTGTCTTGACGTTGACATGTATGTCTCATAACAGCTAAAATTTAAACAACTTTAATATGATTTGCGAAGAAGAATCAAATATTAAAAACTTTTTATTAAAATGAACAAAATTTGTCAAAGCAGTTGCTCTGTTCTTCTAGCATCATTATCAGACACAAGTTCTTTCAAGAGTATTTTAGGTTATTCCGCAATCTTTATGTTGCTTTTATTTCATGGCTTAAGCACGTTATTTATGATTTTTGTCATGACGTAGAATTGGCTATGGAAAGCAATGTGTATCATAAAATTCAGGATAACTAATACATTTTTATCCATAAAACGATGCATTATTAAAATCGCGTAGAAAAAAAAATGCGATCGCTACATCATCTTTTCCTGAGGGCCTGGTTGGACAAAATAATTTGAATTGTTTGTTCATTTTAGTATCTTTGTTAGTTGCATATAGCCATTCTAGTTTCTGAGTGCATGTTGATTAATGGATTCATATAATATAAATTCATAATTAAAATCCTCACAAAAACTAGCGGGCTCAGGTTTAGTTGACAATAATATTAAAAGTAATGTTTTGCTAACACATTTACTCACTCAAATCTTTGAATAATCAAACTCTCATTGCTCATTGAATTAAAGTATTCTTGGAAGATAGTCTGCCTGGACACAACTCGTCTCTGATACGTAGCCAAAAGGTTATCAAGTTCTGTATAAAATTACCTGTGTTGACTCTATTTTGTACACTTGTAGATTGTTCTTCTTTGGAAGTCTAACTACAAGTATGCTCAGTTTTATTCTCTAGAAGATCATAAAATATATATATATATTAAATCATAACATAAAATTGTAATAACTATAAAAATATGTAATAAAAAATTTTAATTCTAAAATATTTCTATAATGTATTTGCGTATATAACATTTCTATACAACAACTCTATATACCACTTGTATACTTCGTATATAAAAGAAGTTGAATTATTCACTAGATCAATATCTTATTGAAGAGGAAATATGATCTGGAACAGAGAATTGAGAGTCTTGGAGAGGAACGTGAGAATCTCAGCTTGACTTTAGAAGAATCTGGAGATCGAATCATAATGTTAGAACGTAATAACAAAGAACAAGAGCAACAGGTAAATTTGCCATCTTATTTATATTTGGTTAAATTTAGGTCAATATTTTCGTTTTGTTTTTCATGTGCCTGCTTTTAGGTAGTGTTATTTTATCTGTCATAAATCGATATTTTATTGCAGCTATAAACATTTACTGGTGAAATCTGAGTAGCAATATATATTTTTGTCTTGTTGTAAAGTGTCAGAAAGAGAAAGACACTGTATATTGTACAAACTTTTAGATCCGAAACCAGCAAAGAGACATTGAAGAGCTTAGACATGTCAATGCCCATCTCCAAGCAAAAATAGACAACATTCTCAGGAGATGTAGCTCCCCCAGTTTTGGGCAAACGTCCATTTACAATGAAATTGAAATGTCATCAACCTCATCCACAGAAGATGAATTAAATGGAAGTCAGGTATAAGCATTGTTTATTTGCCATCTTAACTAACAATTTTATCAAAAATGAAAGGTTCTGTTTAAACTGAATTTTATCTTGAATTATTGAGCATTATGGTCATATTTGTTTATTAGAATTTATGTAAATATGCTCTAAGTATTTGTGATTAAAAATTTATGTAAGCCATGGTCATTCATTATATCAGTATCATGAAGAAATTGTAGTTGAAAGGTTGTGTATTCAAGGCTCTCCGCGCTATGTTGTGCTCTTGGGCAAGACACTTTACCCTAACTCCTTCAGTCTACCTAACTGTATAATGGGTACCACTTAGTAGCTGAGAGTTAATTTGCAATGGATTGTCATCCTATCCTATCCAAAGAGGATTGTTCCACCATTCTTATCAGCTTTTGCCACAGGAAACAGGAGTTAAAGCCACAGGCAAAAACATACTCAAATCATTAAACAATTAAGAGTTTATTCAATGACACCCATTCTCCAGTACCTAACACTTACTTATGTAATGGACATTAAACCCCCAAAGTGCTTTAAACTACAAGGAATCATTTCAAAACTTGTCCCATAATACCTCAAATGAACAATACTTTTCTCAGCCTTGCACCTATGTGCCTTTCAGATGCAAATGTGATTAGCTTACTTGCTTATTGTGAAGGAGACTTAAAGGTAAAAGGTTCTCAAACCTGAGAGCTATAAGATTGCCTACTTAAATATATGAGAGGTGTATGATAGTCCTTTATTCCTGAAAAATTAAACTTGCACATATGTATGATAGTACCTTTTTGAACTATTTGATTTCAAAAAACTAAATGAGTGTAATTGAAGTGAAAAATGGTAATAAAATAGTTGCTTCATTTGCATTTCTTTTAATTTTTCATTGTGATATGTTGTAATTTTATCCTTGATAAATATTAACCAAATCATCTATACACACATATTATAGTGGAGCTGGAGTGTGCTTTTTAAATATCCTTTAAATACTATTTTTAATTTTAAACTTTCGTTCAATAAACAGAATGGCAGAAATAGGTCACAGTCACAGCCAGGATTATCGGTTGGTATCAATGGAGACTTAGAAGATGAAGATATTGAATGTGATGATTCTGAAATGTCACCATTTACTGGACTTCCAATTCCAGATTCAGAGGATAGTTGGAAGGTAAAAAAAATGCTCCTAAGAAACCACTTGCACTACAAAATGATCATTAGTAGCTCACATTTTGTATGTATTAAAATTAAACTGAAGCAATTATTGTATTAGTAAATGTAATATGTAATTACTGACACAGGAAAAGCTAACATGTATTCATAAGATTAAATATGAAGAAGAATATTGGACCAATATGATCTTTTTTGTATTACTGGGTATGTTGAAGATATCAATTCTTGATCTCAGCTTGCCAGCAGTAGAGGTTAAGTCATCATTTTCAATTTTTCTAAAACCACACTTTCCTTTATTTTTATTTCGGGGGGGTGGGGGTGAAATTGATTATTTTGTCTTGTATTTATTTAAATTTAGAGTTGTAAAAATATAATTTATATATGAATTTTTTGTGATATCTATTTAATGATATTGTGTTCTATTTGTATTGTAACTGACCATGTCAACTGCAGTTGTAAATTTCCTAGAAATAACGTTTTGACTTTCCTTTAATTTGAGTATTTGTGCTTTTTTATGGATACTTTCATCTTCTGTCTTTATGATAATGCATTGTATAATAAATTTTATTCACTGTAAAGCAATAAAATTGATAAATGTTTTATTTTCAGTTACGAAAAGAACTAAGTGAGATCTACCACCAGATTAAACAGTTATGTGAGAACCTGAGGAGAAGAAGAGATAGTTTGTCAATGGACAGTGGCATTCAGTCTTCCCCAGATGAAGTAGAAGTACATCACATGCGCGTAGGGATGTTAACTGCAGTGCTTAAAGAATTACGAGCTCTTATGCATGACCTTTTTGCCAATTATAATGAAATAGTACGTGTTAAAATTAACTTGTGTTCTATTTATTTATATCTAGAAATGTCATAATTTGGTTTTGTACAAATACAAACGTTTTAACAGCTTATACGGAGCCTTATGTTGCTAAATATAAGTTTCATGAGAAGCATGAATAAGAAAATGTAATATTATATCAATAGAAAGATTATAGTTACCAATTGATGTTCTTAATTTTAGAAATATATATTATGTACGTTTGTTGAATTTAAATATCTTACTGTGTGACAGTAACTTTTATTGCCAAATGAAGTTGGTAAAATTATTTTATATCTTATGGGTTCCGTACATCTTTTATTTCTTTTTTCGAATTTGATAATGTTAAACAGAATTAGGTAAAACTATTGACATTCACTAAAGGACCAATGGCTTAGCTTGAGTAACAACCAGTCGGAGTTTATCCCCAACTTGAACAAGAGCAACTGCATCATAAGTGTAGGTTTTCAGGTAGACCAGTCCTCTTTATAATTTTCAAAGATCAAGATCATGTGTGGCGTGGATTAATTTAATATATTATTAGAACAGGTTTTAGTAATATTAAATTTATTATGTTGTAAAGGAAACAAAGAGATCGTTAGCAGCTGATGAAACACATAATTTTATTTTCAGCCTTGCTCGTCTTGTCAGACAGTATCACGTGAGAGAGACTTATTGGATAAAATTCAGAAGGAACTTAAAGATAAAACTAATGATGTGAAGAAAAAGGAAGAAAGTGTCTTAGAACTTACAAAAATGGTGAGTTATTTTACCAAATATTAAAATATTATAATCTCAATACTCAAAGTACAAAAATTTTGCCAAAAGAAAATGTCACCTAATTTTTTTCCTTGAGGAAATCAAAAAGATAAAATATAGAAAACAAGAAAAAAGTTTCATTGATTGAGAAACAATAGGCATATTTTTGAATCTTGAAAACAATGTTGTTAAAAACTTGTATTAAGATATGATTTGGTTTAAATTCTGTAACAACATGATATAAATAATCATAATAATATAGGTTAGATTTCCTCTTTAACTTTTCTTAGGCAGCCATTCATGAAAGAGAAATAAATATTCTCAAAGGAGAGCGAGATCAATTGCGAGATGACATAGGAAACAGTAAAATAGCCAAAGACGAAATTGTTAAGAAAGCATGGGAAGTTCGTGATGGAGCTGTGGGACGGTATTCATTTAATTAGTTTAGTTTATTGTTCAAATATTTTATGAAACACACTGAAATTACAGTTAAGACGTTTTTGTATTACAGATATATGTTAATCTTCAAAAAATCAATGACAAAGATTGCCCTGGTTCCAACAGTTTTAGATATTAAATTAATTTGCTATTGTAATTTCATAAGAAATATCAAAAAAATTAATGACTGGAGAAATGTTATTTAAATATTGTGTATTTTGCTTAATACATATATATATATATATATGTGTGTGTGTGTGTGATTTTTGATATGTTATTCTTAAACAGAAAGAATGCTGTTGAGATTCAGCTTGCAAAAACGAGGATTGATATGATGCACATTAACAGCCAGCTTATGGAAGCTATTCAACAAAAAGTGGAATTATCACAACAACTAGAACAGTGGCAGGTAATTTACCTACTAATTTATTAGGTGAAATGCTACTTTAATATACACCAAAGTGGTTCCACCTAGTGACTGTTGATCCTATTCTTTGGTTTAGTTTAAAAGTGGAATTATCACAGCAACTAGAACAGTGGCAGATAATTTATCTACTAATTTATTTGGTTAAATGCTACTTTAATATACACCAAAGTGGTTCCACCTAGTGACTGTTGATCCTATTCTTTCGTTTAGTTTAAATGAGAGCACTTTAATATTACAAGGATGTCACCAGGGGTGGGGGGCTTGGAGCAAGCCCTTTTAGGGCCACAAATGGAATATTAATTCCACGAGCCGCCATATCTACTTGCAGGTTAACAACGTAATTATTATCTTTAGTACAGACATAAACTAATTAAACATACTGAACGGCCAGTTGTCATGTTTCTCAGTTTTACGTAAATGGGTATGTGCCACACCGTTTCACTCTTTACTGGCCAGGCAGGTGCCATATTGAAATCGGGGAAACTAAACGACATTTTACCGTTCGCATCTTCGAGAATCCGGAACCACAGACATGAAATTGGACATCCAACAACTCACTCAGGATTCACCATTCTTTGTAATGGTAATTCCGACCTTGAACTGTTAATCAAAGAAAGTTTATCCATAAAACAAATGTCCCCTGTTTTAGATATAACAATCCTCCTATTCACTTCATTAATTTGTTTGAAAGCAACTTATACTAACAATTTATTTATAATAAACCACTTTATAAATAGGAAGTTTATACAGAATAAAATAAAAAATATAATAAAAAAGTAAAGGTATTTAATCTCATTTCTTCGTCACCATAGATACTGTTTATAAATAGTCAGTAATACTGTTGGTTAATTTTATTGTTCTTCTGGCTTCACGCGATTAGAATATTATTTAATCTTGTATTCTCTGATGTGTCAAATAATCGTTATTTGCTCTTGCCTGATGATGACCTAAGTAGAAGATCGAAACGTTGCATGGCTATTTTTATATATACATGTGTATTTCTCTGTAATAAACATTTCACAAGTTAGAAACAATGAAGTACGATGGGTTTTTTAATGTGTGTGTGATTAGAAATTAAATAATGTTTAATTAATTACTTCTATTATCTAATCACATAAAATGTTCATAGTAATACAAACTCATATTATGTGAACTCCCTAATTCAGTGGTTGTGAATTAAATCATGTGATTTTATCACCACTAAGATGTTAACACTGATTACGCAGGGAAAATGTTCATCACAGACGTAAATGTAAGGTATAATTTAGTACCTCAGTTTTATCAATTTTATCGTCAGTGTGTAATATTTGCCATCTTTCATCATTTACTTACTTCCACTAGACTGTTTATCATTGTTTTCTCTCTTCATATGACATTTAAAATAATATTAATACTAGTTCAACAGCTTAACTTGTCTGGTTCATCTCTGACGTATGTTGTGTAGTAGTGTCTCTCGTTTATACATGAGCTCTTCTCATTATGTGCTTTAGCAAGAATCTTAAACATATTGTGATGTTTAACTATTCACGTAAATTAACATCATCACGTAAATACCAGATTAATTATTTGTCGTTTGTTATTTTATGAGTGTTGCTACCCATAAATTATCATAATAATTGGTCGAACCTATATACCTAGGATTACACCTCGGACATTTAAATTCATGTTTGTTTTCAGTTTCGCGCAAAGCTATTCGAGGACTATCTGTGCTAGACGTATCTAACTTTGAAGTGGTAGACTAGAGGGAAGGCGACTAGTCAACACCATTCACTGCCAATTCATGGGGCTTTTCTTTATCAACGATTGACTGTTTCATTATAAATTGTAAATCCGCGATCTGAACACATCTTTATAACCTGAGTGTATGAATAGTCTGTGTCTGAATGGGCTGTTACATACCCTTTCCAAAAGCGATCAAATAGTATCAAAATGTAGTTCTGATACATTTTGTTCTATCTCGACTTTATGTCGGCTATGGTTGTCATGTGATATACTGAATTGCATATTCAGCATCTTTTTAATATAACGTACTCAATCCTCTGTGAAATCTTTACAAATTGATATTCCTTTGGAAGATACTTTAAAACTAGCAGTTGAAATATTATATCAGAATGCTTTTGTTGTTGTTGTTTGTAGTGCAACGCTGCATTTTAGGTAATATGCACTCTGTTCACCGCGAGGAATCGAACCCTGGATTTTAACGTTGTAAGTCCATAAACTTACCCTCATCCAATGGTGGATATATCAGAATGAAGATATAGTATTTCCAAAGTATGTTTTCCAGAAACTAATAGGATTTGTCACAAAGGAATATCACATTCTCTTTAGTAACCATACATGTTGTTGCGTATCTGCTTGTTTGTTAATTTCCGATATAAATTCTTTCCGAGAAACTTCAGTGATACAAGTCTTTTCTTGATTAACCCAGTTTATTCTTCTTCCATACAAACTTTTAATACACAGTAATTTCACAGTCAGTACGTACCTCCTCCCTCTAAACTTAACAATTTTTATAACAAACGCTATAAATCACAGTGATTCACACACTTTACTTACAGTGCCTACTGTTCGCTTGACTCAATTATCTATCTCTATCTCCATCTGGCTTTCTTTGCAAGGGTCATATATTAAAAAAGAGGGCATCTCGATCAGACTAGAGTTGCTGGGCAAATTCGTGATCCTTCTAGAAACTACAGCGCGCATGCTCCCAGCGTCACGTGACTTCCGCTGTCGTAACATTGCCCCTTCATTAGTATTGTTCGTCCCGAACAATAGCCACTTACATTTAACCAATAGATAATTAACAATAACTTGATTAAATGTACAGAATTTACAAACTTGAAATTAAACCACAACAAAATCTCTTAATTTTATAGGACGTATCTTCTTCCGTACTGGTCTCCATCTCACTGGCTTCTGTTTCACGTGGGGTTCATCTGCTCCATCAGGAAATATCCTATTATCGCTAGCAGTCACATCAGTGGTAGTAACTTCATTAACAGCTTCACTGTTTTCCTTCTCAAAACCAGGTAGAGTTTCTTCTTCAACAGTGGCTTTTTCAGGTGATACGTCTTCAGCAGCATCAATTGTATGGTTGCTCACTTCGTTCCAACTGAAACATCCTGGATCATGATAACGCCAAAGCCTGTTGGCAAGCACCACGTTTGGCTTACCTCGCGATCACATTTTATTCGGAAAGTCACATCTGAGGGACGATCCACTATGCCATATGGGCCTTCCCATGAAGAAGACAACTTAGGAGACTTCCCTTTGGTCTTCCTGGGATTATACCACACCTTGTCTCCTGATACAAAGCTGACTTCAGTAGATCTCTTATCATAACATAGCTTCATGGAATCAGCAGACGTTTTCAAGTTTGAATGGAATTGATGGTGAATATCATACATCCTTTCAGATAACACTTTCACAAACTCTGACACATTTTCAGGCAACTCTTCGAAAGGCGAGAATCCTGTTATCAGGTCCACTGGCAACCGAAGTTCCCGACCAAACATCAGCCTTGCTGGAGTGTATCCAGTGGCTTCATGCTCTGCTGTTCTATAGGCCATCAACAGTGGGGGGAGCAAGACATCCCAGTCATCTTGGCAACTATTACAAAACTTTGCCAATTCTTGTCCCAGTGTCCAGTTGTACTTTTCTACCATCCCATCAGACTGTGGGTGGAGTTGCGTTGTCCTGGTCTTTCATATGCCAAACAACTTGCAGCATTCATGGAACACAGCTGATTCAAAGTTACGACCTTGATCTGAATGCAGTTCATATGGCATACCAAACCTGAAGAAGAAGAAATCACTAATAGCTGAAGCTACAGTTGTAGCTTCCTGATTTGGTATTGCCTATGCCTCAGGCCACTTGGTGAAATAATCCATCACCATACAAATGTACCTATTTCCAGCACGAGTTTGGAGCAAAGGACAAGCAATGTCAATGGTTACTCTTTCCATTGGTGCACCAACTAGATGTAACTTC